ATGTATTTCCGTAATTAAACCCACATTTTCACCATTTTCCAATGATTTTTCGACTGGTGATTCTTGTTAACTTGCTGAATCATAACCAAATTTCGGTTCAACACTAGTTGTACTTCTTGAAAATTTTTAGTGAAGGAGGCAGAAGAGACAGTCAAATTGGTTAAAGTCTAATATGTATGAAGAATGTGGCAATAAAAATTGCCCAATTGGAAAACCCAAAAAAAAAAAAAAAAAAAAAAAAAAAGAAAGAAAGAAAGAAAGAAAGAACAGAACAGAAAAGAAAGAATAGAACAGCCCACTATCATCTTTTTAAGGGATTGTGATGAGGTGGATGATGGTGGTAGGATTGTGAATATTTGAAAAAAGCGCAACTTTCGAATGGTGTTTTAACTGGAGAAGGGTCCATTGAATCAAAGAAGGGATGAGGGATATTTTGTTGAGTTGAAGGGACTACTCCATGTGGTGAAAGGTGTTGTAGTGGTGGATTAAGATTTAGGAGAGTAAGTCGACTTCCGATGAGGGTTCAATTGGTAGGAGTGTGGGCTTTGCAATGGTGATTGGGAATTGGGTTCCTTGATCTTGAGTTTCCATCCATTTGAAGTCCGAGAATGTGGAGAAGAGTTCCAATTGGGAAGTAGAGAATTCGGTGCAGTCTGCGCTGGGCGGTAGCAGGTGGTTGTAGAGATGGAGGCGGCGATGGTCCGATGGATTTTTGGTTTGAGTTGGAATTGGGGGTGGGTTGGGGAAGAAGAAGACCACTTTTATTTTTTGATTTTTGATTTTAATGCAAAGTTACCTATTTTTTTGTTCAACTGATGAAATTTTAGATGAAAACTGTCCAAAAAGGCCTCACATGCAACGTTTGGAAATGTTAGGGATGACGGCAACAAATCAAATATTTGGAAAAAGTCTGCTAGTGTTTCAAGGTTTGGAGCTTCTACTACAATTTTCCCAAAAAAAAAAAAAACGAAAGCTGCCTATTGCTGAAATAAATTATACACACGTCAGAAAAGAGAAATTTCGGTAGATGGGGAGAAAATTAAAAAGGCTGGGACATTGGTGTCGGCAAGGGGGAGGAACAAGAATTGGCAGCTGTTGGGAAGAATTAACAAAAAGGGCTGCCTATTGTTGAGATTTATATTACAACTACATGCAAAGAGAAAAAGGAAGCCAAGATTATATACAGCAGCTTTAAGGAGAAATTGGAGTAAACCATTACGGCTGGAGGAATTTTACACGCAGAATTGGAACAAGACGGCAGCTTAAATTTGTGAATTAGCCATGTTCCGTCAATTATTCGGTGATGTTGTTCAAACTTTATTTGTTTAATTCCAATATCACGGTAGGCTAATTTTTTAGATTATTAGGATGTGATGAACCCTTTTATATTTGTAGTTTGAATAATTAAATTGACATTAATTTTTAATTGTTTGGATGTTTATTATTGTTTTGTTTGCTTTTCAATTTACCGGCCATTAATTGAAGTGTTTGTGAATTTATTGTCATCGAGAGGGATAATAAGATCATTAGTACATAACAATAAACATTTTCGATGAAGGATAGAGATACGCCTTTATATTTCATATGATTTTTATAAGATGTTCTAACTCGTTTAATACATTTATCATGTTCGCATTTTTCATCGAAAGATAAGAAGGTCATATGAGGGAAATAAATTTGATAACTATCAAGACAAGTTTTTAATTAAAATAGGAACATTGACCAACAAACATAATTTCAAATGGTCATTTTAAATTGTTGAACTAAAAATGGATTGGTAAGGGGAATTCTACATCTTAGTAATATTTCTGGCGAATTTGATAAGTTTTATTTACATTGCTTTTAAGTTAGTTGATAGATTTAATAGTTTTTAGTTACAACTTAATTTTGCTCTTCAATTAAGGGTAGTGTTAGCTTTAACTTGATCAAACATATAGTTCTCGTGGATTCAACACTCTATATACCATTTTATTACTGGTTCACAATTTCGTTCACTTGTGGGTAATCAAATGATCAGTATATTTTGAAAGAAAATTTCTGATTTCCTTATCTGAATCAAACTCTTAGGGAAATAATATTGGAGGACGTCTTTTAAAACCTAAGGCCGTCCATAAATAAAGGAAGACACATTCTAAGAGATTTTGGAGCATACAAGAATGCAAGAAAGATGAAGATCGATTTCAGACTTGAAAATTCACTTTAAGATTTAGTTTATTGATGTCAATTCTTCAATACTTCTTTTATTTTCTTTTTTCATAACATGTTGTGCTAGATTTCTTTGTTCAAGGAGAATGATGAACCTTGTAATATGAGTTTTTAATATTTAGTTTTACATATTTAACATTGAAAACACATTTTTAGATATTAAATGGTTTACATGACTATAGTTTATCTAGAATTATTTTGCATCATAGTTGTATGAATTTGGTGACTTATTTTATACATTTGAAAGAAGGAAAATAGACTTGACATGGTGTAAATTATCATATATTTCGATGGGGAATAGAAATATACTGTTATGCTCTATATAAATTTTTAAGTATTCATAAAAATTCATGCAATCCTGTAAGTTTGCATCCATCATGAAAATATAGTCAGGTTTTATATAAGAGTAGATTTGACATTATTTGAGAGAGATTATTGAATAAAACAGGAACGTTGATTCTTTAAAATTTAATCATGTTGTCAAAGTATAAAATTAAGGTTAAAAGGATTATTGCATGGGAATTCGGAATCCTAGTGCGCTTGTCATCCATTAGAGCAATCAACTTGCATTTAACATAATTTATATTTAAATTAGTTAATTTACTCATAATAGCATAAGTGGATTATTTTAGTTGTAATTTTGTCACAAACAAACACAACACATTAATATCATTTTGGTTAAGGACATGATAATTAAAATTTAACTAAATCAATCTCTCTGGGACGATACTTAAACTCAAATCCACTTTATTACTAGTTAACGAATCATATACTTACAGTGGTTTTAATTGAAAAATATTTTCGTGAACAACAAACTAGGAAGGACGGGTACTGACGAGCACGAAATCAATAGAAAGAGAAAGAACATCGGTTTCCTCTATCCATAAAGACTACCACCACCACCACCATTTGTGGCTTCTAACGTCCTATGCACGTAGAGACAGCCCGCGAATTCAGGCTCCTTAAGTCGTGTTTGCCACAACCCGTCTATTTTCTAACTGTAAACCATTTACTGGAATTCACATTCCCTTAATAATGCTTCTTGTAATTGAATATATGTAGAGTAATTAGACGTTTTATAATTTACTTAATTGTGATGGAACCCCCTCGAGTTGGTATTATAAGACTGCATTTACCACAACTTATCGAGTATTGTGCCACACACCTCAAGGAGTTAAGGCTTCTAAGTCTTGGACTTGATCTTTCTAGTCTCCCTATGCAATACTTAACTCCTAGATCCGTCACTTGTGCCTTTAGTGAAGTCAAATCATCAATTGGAAGTTTTCATAATGCAGTAGAAAATACTCTAAAAAATATTCAAAAGCAAAAAAGGGGATGGCAAGTATGACAAGGCAAACCTTATGGAGAAAATATACACTCGTTACATCAAAAAAACCTTTGTTATCTCTCTAGCTCTCTTTATTTAGACATCTTCTTGGATGCTTTACAAATAACTCTCACAACTTTATATAGCTACACCTCCTTAATGGATGATGGAGATTCATCCTATCCAATTTTCTAGGATTAGCCCCCTAAAACTCTATATAACAACGTAATATTCTTACGGCATTCTAGAATATTGTTGACCAAGATTTACATTAGGAAGGGATATGTGATTCCAATATTTGCTAACCTATTCGAAGCACATGATTGTGCAAAACAATAGAATGAAGATGATGGCCTTCCACCGTCTAATAATACAATTGTAGACTATCATCAAATTAAGGTAACACTAATTACAAAATTCCACTATTAAACTTTTTATATTATACATTTTTTGGAAGAAAAATTGTATACTTATCAATAATTTGCTTTGCTATGGGTCAAAAAATATATTCTCGACAAGATATGCACGAAGGCAGACGTCATTTCAATATTGGGAACCAAATTGAAGCACATTTTTTTGTGTAAAACAATAGATTGAAGATGTTGCTCTTTCACGAACTTTCAAATAATATCGTTGTAGATGGAGAAAGGTAGCGTTATTAACAAAATTCTATAACTTAGTTTTTTAGTTTTATGCCGAGAAAAATGAAAGAGGATGGAAAAGATTTGTAATATGGGTTTTATTGAGCTAATTGATTCCCCTTCTCCCACCATAGTCAACACGCAATTTGCCAAATCACAATTTTAATTCAAATCTTTTTTGTGTTAGTTTTTGTTTCCATTGTGCGTTAGTGACAATTTTTATCCATCAATTCCACAAAATTGTCTAGAAGGTTTTCCATGCTTACGTTCCTTGCAAGTTTTCTTTGTTTTCTCAATTCTTTTCAATATCAATATGTTGAATGCTTCACTCTTATATTTTCCAAAAAGAAAAACGATCTTTGAAAGTTGTTTTCTGTATTCTCAAGAGACTGTCTAAGTTCTCCTAATAACTAATAAGTACAGCTAGGGTACGCAGTGGTGGAAGAACTGGATAAAAAAGTAGGGATTCCAGTTGTAAACTGAGTTTTTTCAATCTTTTCGACCTTGACTTCATAGGAACAAGTTAGAAAGATGGAGAAATATATTCGATCCACTAAAGTCTCGAGCAACAAGTTTGGATCAAAATCCAAAGATAATAGTATACTAAAGAAAAGCTCTTTCAGGTTGCGGTTGTGCTTTTCTTCCTGGTTAGGCTGCTGCAATACAATATTTTATATAGATTAATATCCACTGTAACATAACATGATGGAACTTCTATTTGTTGTAGCATCTTGAAAGCTCATGAACATAACCTAATCATCCAACTATAGAGAAACCTAAGCAAATTCGCTATCTAGATATACATCGAATACACAACTATTCAAGAATAGACACAAAATGGAGTCAATAAGAAAATTAGACGCTGTTTAGCTATCATGTAAATAAAATTGAGAAGCACAACACAAAGCATGGAAGAAACATTGCTCCAACCCGTAAATGTGAAAAAAAAAAAAAAAGAATTAAAAAAAAATTTAAAAAAAAATGATTTTTAACATTGTGAAGCAAGTGACAATATACAAGGGTCTTCCTCTCTTAATGTCTATGGTTAACTAATTGGCGGGCTGCGGCGGTTTGAAGCCAAACTTCTCCTCAGGAGGATAGATGGGGCGATTCGGGTGAGATCCCCACCCATGAGTAAATATTTCATAGTAGCCTCATTATATTGGGCCGAGCTGAATTTGAATCAGCGTAGGCATATTGCCAACGAATTCCCTTGGTACCAGATTTAAAGGATTAGTGCCCCTCTCAAAACAAGATAACAACAGTCTTTCTCGTTGGAAACTGATATTCGCTGCCCTAACGTGTATTACAATACACAGTAGCTTTTTCTACCAAAAATACATCAGATATGAGAATATTTCTAGAAAGGGCTCATCTTGCATCAGTATGAGGATGCCAGCAATAAAAAATACGAATCAATAGTTTCAGCTAGTAGTTCAGATCAAATCGACTCAAGATGCCATTGCACATGGAACTCCAAGCAATTTCCAGACGGAGAGCTGTCCTGCTGCATCACCAGTGAAAAAGAGACCACCAATGCCAATTTGAATCACTTGGACTTGCTGTTCAGAAAATATTCTGCCCCTTTCATTAAACCTAAAACCAAAATTAAAACCATCAACAGACCAGCACAAATGGGTGAATCATATCAACAGAGATGATCGTAGTTTGATGATACTAACGAGGGCAAGTCATATATACGAACAGTATTGTCATTATATGAGCAGAAAAGAATTGAGTGAGCTTCAGCATCTGTCATGCCGAAAAGAGCTACCACCCCCTGAAAGATGTAAAATTTCTAGAAAGCGTGAGGAGTCTAAAACCATATAATGCATTCCAAGGAAGTCATATAAAAACCATTTTTAACTTACATGTTCTTCTTTGTGCTCATAGATCACTTCCAAGTTCCCACTGTCAGTTGCAGCCCAAACCTATAAGAAAGGGATATATTAGAACCAGCAAGAACTAAAGCAACATCTAACTACTGATCCAAGTAGTGAACAGCCAAACCTTTAATGTGTTGTCCAGAGAAGCAGATAACAAGTAGCTGTCCCAACAAATAACGGACGTTACATCTCGGGCATGCCCATTTAATGTCTGCGTACACTGCAACGTTTGGAGGTCCCAAACCTGGAAAGAGAGCATATATGTAAGCAAAATTCTTCTGTGAATTCAAAACACTGGACTATATAAAGAGAAGGAATAAAACAAATGGAGGAGGAAGGAGAGGATGAAAAACTTGTAGAGACTCCAACTATGAAAACAGGTGCTCGAAATATAACTTGAGGGAAGACAAATAAAATTGACTAGACAGATCAAACAATGGTCCTGACTCCTGACTGTGTCAACATTACTGACAACCGCGTACCTAACAGACCAACTGTTTTTGATATATATATATATGGCATAGGTCAACAAGTTGACGTGTAAATTGCCAACATAGTTAGATGATTCATCTCTACTATCTACTGACTTGGAGAGATTATAAACACGTTCAAATGTGAGAGGTTGTGAAAATAATTCTCCTGAAAGAGAGCATACCCGTATTGTATTGTCACTCGAACCCGAATAAAGTCTGCTGTTAGCTCCCAGTACAAGTGAACACACAGCACCAGTATGTCCCTTCATCTGTGCAGTCAATTCTGGAATGTTGGTTTCAGTATCACATTTCCATACTAATATGGTACCTTCCTGGAACCATTAAGATACATAAAAATGAGAAACCACAATAGAGTTAATATTCAACAAGACGATGCAAAACTTTAGGGAGTAACCTTTTCCCAAATCTTCCTCAACCTTTAACTACTACCCTACCACTGATTACTGTTATCGCAATTCTGTACAGATCCAAAATTACAATTAAAAAATAGCAAAACACTGAAAACCTCTAGTAGTAGTCACCTCCGTTCCAGCAAAAAGCATATCGTTGTCCATAACCATAGAATAAACTTGCCCAACAGGTCCTCTAAGAGACAGTTCAGCTTGAACTTGGAAGTTCCATGCCTAAATGATAAAAAAATTCATCATGATAAAATCCAT